TAGTGTTTGTTAATAACATTTGTTGATAAAGGAATATGTGTTGTTACTGCCATATTATTTTCCATGTAATAGTTGTCATGTTTATTGTGACATGATTTTATGATGGTAAATGGTTTGGGGTATGTTATTGAGAAGAAATTACCACAGAAGCTCCTAAATAGCTTACCATCAAGTGTGGTAAAATTTCCTTAAACATTGGAGTAGATTTTTTTTTCTTAATTTTAGGGAAGGGTCTACAGTGTGTTTGGGGTCTCACTACTAGATCGGACTCGTAGTGATCTGCCTGCTTACAGCCTCCCAAGAGCTGGGATTACAGGTGTGCGACACCACGTCCAATCTTAATTGCCATCTCAGTGTGCCCCTGAGGCGAGGCTGGGATGGCAGGCCCGGGGATGAAACGCCAAGCCCCTGTATCTGCTTGCAGGAGCTTTAATCCGTTGAGCTATTTGGCTGCCCTTGGAGTAGATATTGAGTGACTATTTCATTAAGGAATCTGGGCTGGGGGTATAGCTCAGTAAAGCTTATGCTCAGTACCTGCAAAGCCTTGGTTTCCATTCCCCAGCATTAAGAAAAATAGAAAGAAGTGAAACTACATAGATGTTTCTTCATGCTCGGAGAGCTTGCACTAAAATGCCACACTGTGCTGGCTCTTTTCTCCCACCAGGTGATGCCTCTGGCAGCTTGGGTTCCATTATTAATGGCCATAGATATAAATTCCCACCTCAAATATTCATTCTGACCTTTAAAATTGTTTCTGATCACTTCTTACTGTTTTACCTCCTAATGAGGCTAAGGACTCATTTTAGGAGAAAGGGGTCAACTCTGCTACCTCCTTTGCTGTCTGCTTGTACCTGTGTCACTTTCAATCAATTATTTCTTTATGGGAGATCTTAGCGTCTATGGTCTGTTCTCTGCCATCTGCTCTCATGTGCTGACAGGCAAACCAAGTATGTGTGGAGGCAATGCCAGTCTGTGCACCATCAAATCCTGACAAATATTACAATCATATTGTTGTCTTTGGGATGGAAAGAGGATAAAATGTAGACTGTAACATTGCCTATGCCTCCAAAGATCACCCACGTACTCTACTCTGAGACTGCTGCTAAGGCCCGATCCAAAATGACCCAGAAAAGGAGCCATGCACATCTAGAACACATTGAAAAACTTTTAAAAGGTCTTACTTCATCAGGAGTAGCCACAAAATTGATGGCTGTGTAATACCGGTCATCTTCCTGGGACAGGCTAAAAGTGAACTGATAGTCAATAAGAAGAGTATCTATGGAAAGAAAGAAATGCATATTTAAAAATTAAATCAGAACAAAATGGAAAAGACCTCTAAAACCTACCAAGTCTCTTTCACAGTATCACTTCATTTGAGATACCCTCCTAACATGGTCCTACTTGTGATTTTGGCTATAATCTTCCTTGCCTACAAATATTGGCTGAATTTCTATATGCTAGGTTTTATTTAAAGATACAATGATTTAAGGTGACAGTGTGACAGAAACCAGGACTTCATGGAAAAATGGTTGATTTTAGGTCTGGAGTATGATCCTAAACATGTGTGGCATAAACAGTTTGGCAGTTTACAAAGAAAATAACAAGTACAATATATCACACAGAAACTTTTGGGCTGGGGAGATAGCTTAGTGGTCTAAGTGCCTGCCTGGCAAGCACAAGGACCCAGGTTTGATCTCTGGTACAGCATGCCATGCTGGCCCCAGACACCATGCCAGCTACTGAAACCGGGCCTGGTGGCATATGCTGGGGAGGCTGAGATAGGAAGATCACTACAAGTCTGAACTGTATAGTGAGACCCTGTACCAAATAAATAATAAATAAAAGATTTTTAAAAAAAAATTTAAAAAAGAAACTTTCACAAAGGACTAAGACTGGAACTCATAGGAGCTTTTTTTTCTCTTTGATACTGGGAATTGAACTCGGGACCTTGTGTCTGCCAGGCAGGCGCTATGCCACTGAGCTATTTCTGTGGCCCTAAGAGCTCATTTGTAGCAGAGGAAGAACAAGATGTTTCTTCCCAGGGAACTAAACCAAAAAATTATGGAGCAGAATGGTGAACTGACATGGGCAGCAGGTACAGCATCACAAAGGCCTACTAAGACAACATGAAAACCACAAAAAGATGTTAACTGTGACTGAGAAAAAAGGACAGGCAAAAAGAAAAACCAAACATGTGCTATCCGTGTAAGCAATACTTGTGCATGGAGATGCAGCTGTCATGTGTGAGGACTGCCTTGGGTGTGACAGTTGAAGCAAAGATTATTGCTGTGGTGGACCTTTGTTTATTTATATTGCTCACATGGGTATTTATTTCTGATATTATCTTTTAGGTTTGTAAGCAAGTAAAAAGCTGATATGATGGGCTGGCCTGACAGCTCAGCAGACTAAAGCACCTGCTTCAGCAGAGTGCAGCAGCTGGGGTTTGATCCCTGGCCTGCCGTGCACCTGTGAGGTGCGCTGAGACTGAGTGTGGTGGTGTATGTCTATAATCCCAGCACTTGGGAGGCTGAAGACAGGAGAATCACTGTGAGTCCAAATCTACATAGTGAGACCATGTAGGCCCTGTCTTAAATGCAGAGGAAAAAAAAAAAAAAAGGCTGATACTAAAATACACATGTCTATTCTAAGCACTTGTTATGGTTTGTGTCTAGGTGATCCCCAAAGCCTCATGCAGTCATGGGGCAACTTCTGGAGTTTGTGATTGATTACTGTGGGTATAGATGTTGCACCTGCCCTGGGGCAGGTAATTTGTATTACAATGGAAGGTGGGAAGAGAAGCTAGCTGCTTGAGCTGCTGCTACCTCTCCCTGGCATTCTTGCTCTTTGCCACCACCCTGAAAGGTTGCACTCTGCCATGTGCCAGGCTGCCTTGGACCCAGCTGAGTATGGACTGAAACCTCCAGTAACTGTGAGCTAAATAAAACTTTCTGTCCTTCGAGTGTCGGGTATCTGTCCCAGCAATGAGAGAAGACAGCACTTATTACATATTTGATACTTTCTTTTATTCTAGCTCATTTTCCTGCCAAGTGCAAGTATACAACATAGTAAGGAGCTTCTGAAAAAAAAAAAAGACAAGAGAAGTGACAAGAGCAGCCTGCTACACAGGGAAGGAAAGCTATGTACATGTGCTGTCAGTGTAAGTGAGACATGAGCATGGGACACATAGTAGTTGTCATGTGTGAAGACTACTCTGGTGTGACAACTGAAGAAAGGATTATTTCTGTTGCAAAAGTCTACTGGTATTTTCATTGTAGTTCACATAGGAATTTATTTCTGTTGTTATTTCTTAGACTTTGTGCACCAAAAAACAACTGATGAAAATTCTGACGCTTTTTTATAAACTCAATAAACATTAAAAGACCAGTATTTTATTTGGATATTTTTTCCTGTTAAATACTTATTGTTTAATATGCTAAAACTCAAAATTAAAATTAATAACTCATCAATAGAAATATTCTAAAAAATAAATGTAGGTATTATATACCTACAGCAATGTGTCTTTATAACAGAATTGGTAAGTCTACTGGTGGGCATGCCTGTAATCCCAGCACTTGGGATGCTGAGGCAGGAGAATCACTGTGAGTTTGAGTCTAGCCTGGCTATCTAGCACTTCAAGGCCAGCCTGGACTAGACAACAAGACCCTGTTTTAAAAAAAAAAATCCATTGCGTGACTCAATATCAACAATAAAAAATCTGAAAAAATGAGCAAAGGCCTTGAACAAACATTTCTTCAAAGATGGTATAAAAATAGCTGATAAGCACATGAAAAGATATTCAATAACACCAATAATATTAATATTAGTATTAATATTAGCACTGCTCAATAGTACTAATAATATGTATAATAATACTATTCAATCTGCTTATTAGGGAAATGCAAACAGAACTCACAATGAGATATCATCTTATACCCACCAGAATGCTACCATCAAAAAAAAGTCAAAACAGAAAATAACAAGTGTTGGCAAGGATTCAGAAAAACTAAAATACTTGTGCACTGCTGATGGGAATCAAAAATGATGCAGCTATAATAGAAAAAAGTACAGCAACACCTCAAAATTAAACTCAGAATTTCTGCATGACCTAGCAACTACAACCTATGGGCATACTACCAAAACTTGAAAGCAAGGTCTCAGATGAGTATTTGTATACCCATGTTCACATTAGCATAAGTAACAACAGACAAAAGATGGAAGCAACCCAAGTGTTGCTCTAATGGATAAATGGATGATCAAAATGTTATACAGTATGATGAACTATTATTCAGCCATAAGAAGGAAAATCCAGACATATGCTATAACATGAATGACAACATTACAACAATTACAATACTACTCACAAAAAGACACATACCACAAGGTCTACTTAGATGAAATATCCAGGGTGGTCAAATTATAGAAACATAAAATAGAAAGGGTGAGTGCTAGCATCTGGGGGAGTAGAAGATGAGGAATTCTGGCCAAGTTTAACTGTGGTTTTCCCAAGTAATGCAGGAAGATTCTAGTTTTTTAACACTTGCTAAAACTTGGTGTTGGCTTTTAACCCCATAAATATATCTTTTTCTTTTTGCAGGAACCAGGGATTGAACTTAGGCCCTTGCGCTTTCCAGGGAAGCGCTTATTCCACTGAGCCATCTCTCTGGCTCCCCCATAAATATATCTTAATGGGCCAGATGACAAATTACACTGATGAGTCTTTTACTTCCTATTTCAACCTTTATGACCAGTTCTCTAGTTTCAATATTACATCAAAAAACACTGTCCAAGCTGAGCACAGTGACACACACCTATAATCTCTTAATTCTGGAAAGCTGACACAGGAAGATTGCAAAGTTTGAACCCAGCCTTGACAACTTAGCAAGACCCTGGTTAAAAATACTCTTTATCAAATATGTGATTTACAAATATTTTTTCTCTAGATTTGGGCTTGTTTTCTATTTTTTGATAGTTTTTGTAATATACAAATTTTCATAAAGTCTCATTGATCAACTTTTTCTTTTATGAATTACGTTTTACAAATCACATCTAAGAGCTCTTTTCCCTAGCCAACATCAAGAAGTTTTTCTCCTGTCACATGCTCAGATTCCAGGTGCACATGAATGTTGAGAACACAAATACAATGCTATTCAGCCTGGTATGGCAGGTACATAATTGGATATGCCAAACATTTTCTATTATTACATAATCTGGCCTAACATATGGATTCTCATAAAGGGAGGAAATGCATTTACCCAAAGAACCTGGACATCTGGCCAGATTCACCTTTCACTTCAAGATAATTATTTGATATTTTATTTTACATTATTTGTTCCTAAAGAGGTGATGAAACTTCATTGATATTTTTTTTAATATTTATTTATTTTTATTTATTACATTTATTTTTTGTGTGTGTGTGGCCAGCTCAGCCCACCAGGGGGCAGGGCTGGCTGGCATGTGGCGCTGGGGGATCGAACCGCGGTCCCTGTGCTTTGCTTAGCTTAGCTTGTTCTAAGTAGGTGCTTTAGACCACTGAGCCATCTTACCAGCCCTTCATTGATATTTTAATAACTTTTTTTCTTTTCTGTATCCTGAAATATGAAATGAAAACCTCAGTCAGGTACTGCCTCATGAAAGATTCAGGAGACACTAAGGAAATCCAGGGATTCACGTCTATACACTGTCCCCTCCTATCTTCTATGGACACACTAACATAAACCATAACCACAAGTAAATCAAAAGTAGTGCTTAAAACAGTGCTTGTTGGGGATACTTCCATGGCTGCTGCTCTGCTGTCACTGTTGCATTCTTCTAGCATTTACTGTCCGCAAACCATGTTAACAAAAAAGAAGTTTGGTGGAACTATTGTGTTTCTACAAATAAGAAGCAGAAAAACACTTACAATAACATGTTCCTTTGAGAGGGTTTCCCTGATACCGATTTTCTACCTCACATCTAGAAGAAAAAAATGGAATTATTTTCTCCTTGAAATAAAATCTACATTCATTTTTAATAACAGAGACTCAGGTAAATGACAAATAGTTTTTTTTTTTTTTTTCTCCAAATGCCTTCAGGGCAGGTTTGGCTGGCTTGAGTTGTGGGGATCGAACCACAGCAACCTGAGCCTGACTGCTTTGCTGAAGCAGCCACTTAAAAGAACTGAGCTAAGAGGCAGGCCCCCAACAAATAGTTTTGAGTCAAGATAATTATATTCTTCACTATTCTTCAGACTGATGAACTAAGGGGAGTTTGCAGGGCTTTTCATGCTGATTGCCCAGCAGTGCACACCACCAACTGTACAAAAGCAATGGTTACAATGGATAGGCAGCTGCAAGAAACATGTAATAAGCCAAAATGTAGTATATACAGACCCCATTTACTACAATGAAAACTGTACTTTCAACTTTTGTGTGGCCTACATATTTTAAAAGTATAGTTGAAATATGTTTCAAATATTCACTTTTTACTTCTTTCCTGCTCTCCTTGGATAAACTGATCCTGTTCTTTATAAACATAAGCAAGAGAAACCTAATATTAAGAATTACCTTAAAAACAAAAATCTTTCAACAGTGTTCACCAGTCTAAAGAAAAACTAAGTTATATTTAAAAAGAACATAAATTCTCCATAGGTTTCATCTAAAAGAACTATTAATCTCCCCACAGATACTGTTGACAAACACCAGAAAACTCAGTTTTCCACTTTACAAAGCCACCAAGGCAAGCACAGCAGCTTGGAAATGTGAGAAAAAGGGCAAGAGCTGGGTGAAGCACTGTGCCCAGATAAGCTAAGCTGGAGATTCTGCCCTTCCTAGCCCCAGCCCTCCCTGAGTACAGGGTGTGGTACTCACAGCTGGCACTCGTCCCCCTTGACGCCCTTGGTGGTACAGAAGCACTTGCCAGTATTGGTATTGCACAGCGACGCATGTCCATTGCACTTGCATGCTGGGAGGAGGAAAAGGAGCACAGGTCACAACTGGCTTACGCTCACTTCACAGACTTTCTCCCCAAACAAATAATGGTCTCCATTGGGTATGGTAGGAAAGACACGCTAAAACAAGAGTATCTAGTGGAGAAGATTCAGGATTTTTCAAGTAATTTTTCAAGTATTTTCAATAAATAATGCAAAGGTGACATTAAAGAAACCGAAGTCAAAGGACAGAAGGAAAGAGAAAGCTGGCTCCTACTGCTACCTTACCAATTACTCCTGACCTTTTTGACAGATTTTCTTTTACAGTCTCATAATTCATCTGTCAGAAAATATTTACAAAACATCTTCAGCATCCCAGGTGCTGGCTCCCTGTCCTAGTGGAGATGCTCTGGGTTGGACTGCCCTCTGGAGGGAGGCTGCCCTCTGCTTCAGATTTTGAATGACAGGGGGCTCAGAACTGGGAGGGACTCCCACCACAGGGTGGGTATTTCAAGGTCCTTTAGCATTCACCTCCCTCTCCTTTTTGTGTTTACTGAAAACTTTCCCTCTCCCTCCTGCTCAACACCTCTACCTGTCTTCATCCATCATACTGGGTGAGTTATGGTACATCTGACTCTGGTCATAATAAATGAAGCTCTTTGTACGCAGTATCTTTTCATTTTACATTTGTTCCTAACAAATTACTTACAAATTAGCAGAGGTCAAGGGGGGGTGGGGATGGGAAGAGTATATAAAAGATTGAAGATGTGCCATATACATGTACTTTCAATGAATGTAAACATTATCATAGATATGAACTAAAAATAATAATAGTGAAAATGGCAAAAGGGGATCTAGAGATGGAGGGAGGGAGGGTAGAAGGCAGAGATGTGAAGGGGATTAAAAAGAATCATGGTATGCTGTACACATGTTCCTATTTCCCAAGATGAATGTAAACTCCATGTACATGTACTAATAAAATAAAAATTAAAAAACCCAGCAAAACCAAAATAAAAAATCAAGCATTCAAAATGGGTATGGTGGTACATACTTACAGTTCCAGTACTCAGAAGACTGAGATAGGAGGACTGTAAGTTCAAAGTGAGCCTGGGCTACATAGTGAATTCAAGACCAGTCTGAACTACATATTGAGACCTTGTCTCAAAGCCCCCCAAACCACACATTCAATACAACACCAGCTATTGTCCTTTGCTAAGGACTATATAATCATGAGAGGAAAACATTAAAGACTTGGTACCATCTATGGCATTTAAAAAAACTATACTTTCTATTGTTCTTTAGAACGCCAAAAAATAAAATAAATCCTAAGTTCTGGACAACTATACTAAGGCCCTATGCATATTACAAAGGAAAATGTGACATTCTAGATGGTAGGTACACATTTGGAGATGGTCACCTGGAGATACATCAACACCAATAATTAAAGTCAGTACCTATTGGATGTGGCTCCCAGCTTGGCCACATCTCACTGTGAGTGCCTGGGTAGATTGCCTGACCTTGAGAATAATAAAGGGATCTATGTCTTGAATGTCTGTTAGCACATTTTTCCTTGTATATATTTACTGCTTGAGTAATTGAGCAGGATACTTTATTTCAGAGTAGTGAGAAATGCACCAGAAGGGTAACAGTCTTGATCCCCAGGCCAGCTATGCTGGCCCTGCCCCCGGGGCGTGCTGAGACAGCAATTGAGACTGGGTGTGGGGGTGCACGCCTATAATTTCAGCTTTTGGGAGGCTGTAAATAGGCGGATCACTACGAGTCCGATCTAGTAGTGAGACCCTGAACACTCTGTAGGCCCTTTCCTAAAATACAAAAAATAGTTTGTTTGTTTTTTTTAAAAAAAAGATGGGTAACAGTCATTGCTCACATTTTCTGACTGTTGACTGCATACTGCACTGTTCTGACCGCTTTATGGTTTTTTGGGGTTTTTTTTTTGGTGGAACTGGGGATTGAACTCAGATCCTTGTGTTTGCCAGTCAAGCGCTTATCCTACTGAGCCATCTCCCCGGCCCCTGGTCGCTTTATGTTAATTTTTAAAATTTTATTTATTTTTGGGCTGGGGAGACGGCACAGTGGAATAAGCGCTTCCCTGGCAAGCGCAAGGGCCTGAGTTCAATCCCTGGTTCCACCAAAAAAAAAAAAACTTTTGGCGGAACCGGGGATTGAACTCAGACCCTTGCGCTTGCCAGGGAAGCGTTTATTCTACTGAGCCATCTCCCTGGCCCCTGACTGCTTTAATTACAACCACCACCTATAACTCCATTTTACAGATGAGGAAACTGAACCCAAGAAAGATTAAGGGCATACAGCTAGATCACCATTGTCCTATTCAGGTAATGAAGAACATGTTATGGAGTCTGGAGCAGTGGGTAGAGGTACCCTTTGTTAATTATTTTTCCTGCTTAGAACCTGATGGGGTCTTTCAACTAGAAGGGTCCTATTAGTCACCTGGAAACTAGAACAAATTTTTTAAAATATCAGTTCCTTGGTGACATTTGTCATTTTAAAAAACATAACTTATAGTCTAACAATAATTTAAATGCCTGGTAGCTTGCAGACTTTTATCTGACACAAATGAGTACTATCTAAATCTTTAAAATATACTTAAATATTGAGGAGTGCAGCTCCTGATTAACATGTGGTTTTTCAGGCCTGTCTATAGGCCATTAGAGGCTTCCATGATGACCTCAGGAGAACAGCTGCTTTCCCAATCACAGACGCCAGAATAGCCCCACCACAACTCCTGTGAGTTTTAACCTCATGCCTCAAGCAGAGGCCTCTTTAAGGGAGAAAAGAAAAAACCCTGAAGATACTTTCTTCACTCTGACTCAGTTCCAGAAACTTCCTCATTCCTAGCTTTTCCCTCTCTCCCTTCCCACAACCTCAGAACCCGCAAAGCTGCTGACAAGGCTCTCTTCATGGTAAAATCACATCCTACTGTTGGTGCCAACCCTCCACCCACCCTGACCTTCCATATATCCTGACCCTCTTTTACCCTGACTAGAGAAAGGAACAGGAAGTCAGCTCCTTCTCTGTCTTGGTGGCCTTTGCTTATACCACTGCTGATTGTGATGAAAGCCTTAACTCTTTCATGGCTGGCTTTTTATTTTAACATACCAGTCTAGAACCCAATGGCGCAGCTCTCTTCTAGCTCAGCTGAACTCCTCACAAGCAAGACCTAATACAAAATGCTGCATCCAAAAACAAATGGCTTTTCCTTTCAAGATGTTCCAGTCTAAGAGAAGCACAGCCTCCACCTGGTTTCCAGCAGTAACCCCGATCAGTGTAACTTACGCTGGCATTTGCCTCCGTTAGTGGGGTCTCCATAGTAGCCAGATATGCAGGTCTCACAGTGCTTGCCGGTGGTCAGGTTCTCACACTTCTCACAGACACTCTGGTTGATACATCTGCTGTGGCCGTTGCACTGGCAAGCTGAAAGGAGAAGAACTTTAAGAAGCCTCTCCCATGGCAAAGTTGAGTGGTGCAAGTCTGACAAGACTTATTTGTATCTGTGAAGGTTCTTTATTGCCTCTAACTATAAAATCATTAATTATAATTAGTGGCATGTGTCCATGTCGCAGATACTTAGCAGGCTGAGACAAGAAGATCACTTGAGCACAGCAGTTCAAAGCCCTCCTAGAATACACAGCAAGACTGAGGTCAGGTGTGATGGCACACACCTATAATCCCAGCATTTGAGGACCTGAGGCAGGAGAATAGCTGTGTGTTCAGGCCAACCTGGGCTACATGGCAAGACCCTGTCTCAAAAAACCAAAAAGAAACAAAACCCAAGAGACAGGTACAAAACAAGAAGAAATAAAACCTGCAACACTAAAAAGTAATTTGAAAAATAAGATAAAAATATCAACAATGAAAATAGTTTCCTCATTGCTATTTCTCAATAAAATTATGGAAAAAAATAGCTTCTATTCATTATAAAGAATAACATATGCTTATGATGGTGTACCTGCAGAATACAAGGAGTTGGAAAGTCATAGACAATCGTACTAAAGAACACCCCTCATATTTAATAGCTTTCCTTCCACTATTTTCCTATACTGTTTTACAGTTTTGTTCATGTTAATATGCAATTTTGATATCTCAACGTAGATCAAAATTATTTTAAATTATTTCATTTATCATAAATAAAACAAATAGCAAAATGATTTCTATGAATTATAAGTTCTTTAATAATCCTTTTACAGTCTAATGTTTAGTTTGATTTGAATTTTCATTACTATAAAAGTTGTTTATATAAACATATAAACATTTCCAGAGGTGTTATCACTAAAGCTCCTGCTGCATACAGGACTTTACAGCTAGAAAGCATATGCATTTTGGACCTCTCCGGGCTACTCAGGACAGCTGTGCAGGATGTGCACTGCAGAGGTTGTCAACTGTGAGCACAGTCTCCTGACTGGCTTAGTTAGTTAACAGTTGGTTAGCATGATGTAGTCCTGGCAAATATTCCTAGCTTTGCAGGTGTTCTGTTTACTCCTGTTAGCCACCCATCCTGGTAGGTATTTTAAACATGCAGAATTTATATAACTATGACTTAAAAAGACTGTATCAGTTATGCCTGCCCCCAAATGACTTAAGCTTTACAAGGTACACATTTTGTTCCTGTGAACATGAGCAAAGGGCAAATCATGTTATACATACAAAATCATTTACAAAACAAAACTATTCCTGTTCAAATAAAAAGATTTTTTTAAAAAATTGCTTCTTTCTCTTTTTCTTCAAAAATCTCCATGAAATTACAGAAAATTCAGAATAAGGATAAGCCAACAAGAGTGTGAGGCAAAAAGGAAAGGTAGCATCAAAATCAAAGCAATACACCGGACTCTCTTAGAATGTTTTGCTGAGTTAACACACCTATAATATTCAAATGACAGAACTAAATAAAAAAGGGGATACAGATGAATGTCCACTTTGTATCTGTGTATTCAAAATGGTTAGGATAGACAGTTACATTCTCTTAATAGAGGGATTTGTTGTAATAGCGTTAGTAAATAGGATATCATGTCTGCATCTTGTACAGCAAATAACCACTAGGAAGAATGTATGCATTGTATTAATTATTGAAACTGTCCTACCAATTTTTT